AATGTCTTCTTATGATGCATGTGTGTTGAAGGTTTTTATTATGAGTAGCTAAATTAATTAGGGGTGTGATTATTGGAATGGTGATGGAAATTTTCTGAGAAAATCATTGAGATGAATTATATTATTGTCAAGGCAAATTACTAGTTTTTATTACTGAGAATTTATACTTGAGATTTGTAAATCGAGAGGAGGCAAATCTATTCTTGAAAATTATTTTTCTTGAGAAATCTGGAATTTAATTAAGTCAAGCCCAGTAATTTGATAATTGATCTATAGACATTGGATTGATTGTTAAGTAAATATTTGAAAAGATACTTACTTACTAGTAAAAAGATTTAAAATAAAAGTGACCGGTGATTTTACTCTAAAAAGAATCATCACCTCACCAATAATTACATCCCTACTCTTTATTCCTGAAAGGTAAAATTCAATCTCCATTCCTTATTCGACTTATTGAAAACTTTTCAATTCAACGAGTAAATCTTGTCTAGCTAGTCTTGCTAAACTTTCCCTTGGGCCGATCCTTGAGACGACACGGGATAAACTGATCTTTTAAAGGTCTAGTCTGTTCCCTTTACTACTACGGGAATTTTGAGTTAAACCAAAATTCTTCACCACCGTTCTGTTGCCAAGAAAAACTTACAGTAGTATTTTTTTCCAACTACTCATTAACAGTTGTTAATCAACAGTCGTCTGATACTGTTTTTGGCGTAGTGTAAATCAAGCTAATAATACACACATAGTTCTCGAGTTCTTGTTCTTTTTTTATTTCTTGTGATCCATTCTTCCGAATCGGATCATTTGATGCATTTATTATCCATCAATTTGGTGCTCTCATTGAGAGGTCGAGGATCATACTCAAGAAAAACCTTCCAAGGAGACATTGGTGCAAACGTGTAGCAACACGGATCTAGGTACCGGAGCCCCCCACCAGGGCGAGAACAGTGCCACCCGAGGCCGGCACCCTCCTATCATCATGACGGAGGCGGAGGCCCTCATCTAGAGGGTCGGAATCACAGTGGAACAATTCAAGGAGGTGTTGGCGGCTCTAACACCCAATCACGGGATTGTGGCCGAAGACGCGACCGGAGAACCCGCAAGCGGGAAGAAGAAGAAGGTAAGGCGGTCCCAGAAGAAGAAGGCGACCAAGCCCAACTAGAAAACAAGGATGGAGGATGAGCTATCCATATTGGACGAGGAAGATGAATCATCCTCCTTTGAGTGGGCGTCAGCCTTCGATCCGTTGGGGGATCCCAAATCAAAGAAGCCCTGAGCCTCAGCGTTCGATCGGCTGTAGGACACACAGTCGGCTCGCAAGGGAGAACTGAGAGAGACACATAAGGAGACACATAAGGACACGAGAGGAGAGTCCTTAGCGACCTCCAAGATCGACTCAGAAGAGCCACTACAAGAAAATTGCAGAATTGCGATGGAAAGTTGCGACGGTTGTATTTCCATTGTACTCGGCGATGGAATTTACGATAGACATTGTCACCGTAAATCTCGGTGACGGAGTGTGCGACGGAATCATAAATCCTCGCAAAGTTCGGGGCGGGGGACTTGGCGCCAATAGTCTGCGACGGTATTTGCGATGGAAGCCATCGTTGCAAACTTAATTATTTATTTTAATTTAATTCATTTTAGCTTCCGTCGCAACCCTTTTTTAAAAATTTTACATTTTCCCCCTAAACAACGTCGTTTTGCTCCACACTCGCACATTATTTTATTTATGCGACGGAATTTGCGACAGAAAACCTCCGTCGCAAACCTATTGACTTAAAATAAAAAATCTGTCTCCTTTCCCCCAAATCTACAGCAGGTAGAGATAGAGGAGCGACGGCCAACGAAGAGCTTACAGATCTAGATCCAATTTCTTCAATTCTAAGTAATATTTTTACATTTTTATTGCATTTTACTTATTTATTTTCATTAATATATGATTTATTTTATAAAAATACATTTTTAGGGTTATGGTATTGTTTTGGATAAAATTGAGGTGTTTGGAGGGGTTTGGGGTTGCGGGATAGGGGGGATTGGGCGATGGGGCACTAGGAGAAAGGGTGTGGGGCTGCGGGAGAGTGGG